GATATTGTGTGGGCATGCTATGTGCTTTAATTATGCCTTTGTGAATTAAGTGTGTTATTGGCATATATGAAATAACATGCTTATGGATTATAGTTGGATATGAACATGTTGATATATGCTCTTTGATATATTAACATTGAGATGAAATTTGACTATTATATGCATATGATATGAGTGGCTATGAAATATAAAAATATATGTTAAAGTTGCTCATGTAGCATTCATTACATGTGGGCATGACATTGAAATAGCAATGGTGCATTATATTGCATATGCACGGAGACATCGAAATTTTTTTTGGTGTGGGTGCATGGTTTGGGTCAAACACCATCCTTGGTAGATGACAAGTGGGCTCGGTACCGTTAGACCAAGGTTCAACAAAGTTCCATGATTGCATAGAAAAGAAAACTTGTGTCGGGTATAACAAGAAGGGTTAGACACGTCTTCGGGTACAAAGCCCGACTACTAGTTCATACACTCCATCGATGCAAGTCCAAAAAGTGTAGAAAGGCTTACGGAGTCGATGGTGTGATTCCAAATTCCATTGCCCAACAAAGACGCAAGATTTTGTTTTATAAAAATACCCATTCAATGGGTAACATCCACAATGATTTGATTTTTATAAATACATCACTTTTATTTCAAACAATCATTGGATGTATTTTTCTTCAATTGACGAATTCATTACACATATGCATTACATTGTGTAGTAGGAGTCGGTGAGGAATCGGGTTAAGATGCATGAGTGAGTCTCATCTCATTTCATAGCATGACATAGAATTGCATATTCTTGTTTGGTTGGAATGATTGTTGTTGAAAAATGTTGTATGTGAACATTGCATATGCACTTAAGTTGAGAAATAAGCTCTGTAGGAAATACTCTACTGGGCATAGCTCACCCTATGTAGGAAAATATTTTAGGTGCGGGTGGTACATTGGCGAAAGGCTCTCACTCGGGGCCCAAGGAAGAAAGTCGGAATGTGACTTTATTTTGGGTTTTTGTAAAACTTTTGAGGAAAACATATATTTTGGCATGTAAATGTATGAAATCATTGTAATAGAACTTGTATGTATCAAGGTTTATGTGGAAAACTATAATTTATATGTTTAGAATGTTTGTGAGAAGGTTTGGAATGAATTGGAAAAGAAAAATAGGTGAAACAGACAATTCTGGGCAAAACCTTCCGGAAGGTTTGGACAAAGACAAAGAAAAACTGTTGAACAGTGGGTGAAACCTTCCAGAAGGTCGATTCTAACCTTCCGGAAGGTCTTCACATTTTTCTATAATGAGGGAATCTAGTGTGTAACTTTTTCCAGAAGGTTTAACACATCTTTCTTAAAGGTAGGGTTCCAGTATGCTCGATCTTCCGGAAGGTTGAGGGAATCTTCTGGAAGGTTTTACAAAAATTTAAAATTTTAGGAATGCATTGTCATGCTTTTGGGCTATGTGCTCTTTAGTTCCATTGACACAAATGGACCTTAATGGGATCTATTGAACCCCGGTTGAATTAAATGATTAAAGGAATACGGGTTACACGTGTGAGTTATAATTTCAGACAAAGGGATATTATTGACATGATGCCGGAGTGGGCAACAATCACGGGTATTTTTGCAGGTTGACGGGTGGTCATCGGGACCCCCGATTTTTGGGGCGTCATAGCTTGGTATCAGAGCTTAGGTCATAGATTTTATATTGGCCTTGTGGGAAATGAGTCTATCATCTTCCATTGCAAGGGTGAAAGAGGTTGAGAGCCTATGGTGTACCTTAGACTCTGATACCAGTCACAGCTTGGTATCAAAGCATAGGTATATGAATTATTTAGGGCTTGATGGGCATTGGGTCTAGACCATTGCATTCATTGTGCATTTCATGTTATGTGATTTAGTTGCTACATGATTATGTGATATGTGTTGTGTGACTTATATACATGGTAAAATGTATATGGAAAAGGGACACTAGGATTAGAAAATATAACCTTGGGGGTTGAAAAACAAAGGAACGGGATAGTTCAAGGTGTAAATGTCTCCTAGTAGTGGCATACACCCTACTAGGGAGACAAGGAGAGAGATCTCAAAGTTTATACTTGATCCCTATCTTGGGATACTATGTGAGACTCTATTGCTATCTTACATGTGTGTAGATGACAAATCGAGAAAGGGGACGCCAAGGTGGTAGGCAGAGCAACAACAAACCACCACCAACCTTTGACCAACACGTCATTATAGAGGCTATAGGTACGATGGCTGCTAACTTAGTACAGACAAGTGTCAATATAAGCCAAGGGGCTCAAGCCATCCAAAGGAGTTTAAGTTCCATGGGCCACCAACATTCATGGAAAAAGCAGAGGACATCCAGCCCACAGGGATCACAAGGGCAAGGCCAAGCTCAAAGTCATTTGTCCCAAAGAGGGAAAAAATTCAAGGGGACGTTTCAAGGAGGTCAAAAGACATGTTTCTATTGTCTACAACCAGGCCATGTGAGGAAGAATTGTCCCTTGAGGCAAACCTCACGGAGTTCTGAGACGTCTCAATCCCAGTCGTCAATGGGACTCACACAAGTACACATTGTTCCTCCCTGTCCCATTTTGGACCAAGGAGATCTGTTCCAACTACAAGGTGTTGTTCAAGTCCCTAGTGCCATACGTGCAGAGACTCCGCAAGTAGGCCAGATGAGCCAAGATGTGGGCTAAGGCCAGAGTTAATCCTCCCAAGGCAGGAGACACTTCAAGGCTTCTAGCCAGGTAGGTCAGAGAGTTTGCTATTATTGCCACCAGCCGGGTCATAAGAGACGGGATTGCCCTCAGAGGCATGGATTCTGGAGTTCTAGGACATCTAAGTCCTAATCGTCGGTGGGGCAGCCACAGACACACTACATTCCTCCCTACCCCACTATGGGCCATGACATGGGTCAAGGCCGAGGGTAAGACTTACAGGTCGGGACTTCAGGGATCCAAGAGAGTATTTATGCCATACGGTCAGAATACCCTGTGCATCAAATTCATGAAGGCTGTTGGAGCATTAATCAATCCGAAACGACATTACCGTATATTCGAAATGACCATACCGGGTACGGAAGGCTATCTTAGGAATATCCTCCTCCTTGATTCACAGTTGATGATATCCAGTGCGAAGATCAATCTTAGAGTAATACTTAGAACCTTTCAACTAATCAAATAAATCATCAATTCATGGCAATGAGTATTTATTCTTCACTATTACTCGATTCAACCGTCGGTAATCCGTGCATAACCGAAACATTTCGTCATGCTTCTTCACAAAAAGGATGGGGGCTCCCCAAGGTGAAGTGCTTAAACGGATAAACCCAATAGCCAACAGATGGTCCAACTACTTCCTTAGTTCCTTCAACTCCAAAGGTGTCATTCTATAGGGAGCAATGGATATAAGTTCAGTTCCCGAATAGAGATCAATCTTGAACTCAATCTCTCTTTGTGGGGGTAACCCGGGTAATTCATCAGGGAAGACATCCGAAAAATTCGATACTATCAACAGCACTTTCGCATGTGATTTCTCCCGATCATCTCCCATCAAACTAGCTAAGAAACTCAAATGGTTCCCCGCCTTAGCTTTCAAGAATTTACTACTCGTAGTAGGAAATGGATGGAATGAACTTCGATCATTACTGAAGCTGAAAACTACACCTCCCGGTAAATGAAATGAAATCTGTTTACGAAAATAATCCATTACCGCATGGAAGATAGACAACAAGTTCATCCCAAATATTATGTCATACCCCTTCATGTCTAGCGCAACCAAATCTACAATTAATTCTTGCTCCCCAATTCGAAGCACACACCCTTCTAATATCCAACCGTTCTCCCGTCGGCATGTCAATACTCAGGACATGTTCTAATTTCTCGAATTCCAATCCCAAATTACAAGCATATGCAGTGTATATGAAGGAATGTGAAGCACCAGGATCAAATAAGATTTGGGCCCAAGAATTATAAAGAAGAACAATACCTTCGACTACGGCATTGGAAGCATCTTCCTCCGGCTGAGTCAAAGCAAACACTCTCCTTTGATTGGCACCACCTGGGGCTAGAGCTCCTATCGGTCTCTGCTATAGTGGCTTTGATGGTGGTGGCTTGTTTGCTTGATTGGTCCTTGGTGGAAACGATGGGCAGTTATTTTTGAAGTGTCCGACATCTCCACATGCGAAGCATTGACGTGGGTCAGTGCCTGCTCTCTCAAGTGCGCCTCTAGCTCTTTGGGCTATCTGAAGTCTTTGTCCAACTGCCTAGTCTAGGCGACGGTAAGGTGCCGCTCTCTGTCCTCCACTGTTGCTAGCACCCATCCGGATCAGACTTCCTTATCAAGTTTTGTTGTCGCTGGGTGTCCTCTGTGTCTCTCTCCACCAGTGCAGCTCTGTCAACTAGATCTCCATAGTCCCGGATCTTAAAAGTCACAAGCTTCTCCCTAATGGCAGGCCTCAAGCCCTGCTCAAAGCGTTTGGTCCTCTTAGCCTCGGTAGATATGAACTCTCTAGCATAGCGGGATAGCTCGTCAAACCTCCTCTCATACTCAACCACCGTCATGCTTCCTTGTCATAGAGTTAGGAAATCTGCACTCATCTTGTCCCTGATGGATTCAAGAAAATACTTATTTTGGAAGATTTGGTCAACTCCTCCCAAGTGAGCGTATCGACATTCCTTCTTCTCTTTACTAAATCCCACCAATGGTCGGCCTCCCTCTCAAACAGATATGTTGCCAAGCCAATCCGAAGATCCTCGACAACTCCCATGCCATCACACATCTTCTTTATCCGGCGGATCCATTTATCTGCAACCAAGGGGTTAGAGCTCCCTTGAAAAGAAGGTGGGTGTTGTCTCAGAAACTCTCAGAGAACAACCATCCTTCGGTTTTTGTCCTCGTTGCCTGGTACATGGGCTAGTGGATAAACTCTACCGTTGTGGTTGTTATTCCCGTTTTGGAGTTGCACCAAAGTGGTAAGCTCTCTTAAACATTGGTATATGCTGTTCATGGCATCAAGAGGTAGAGGTGGTGGTGGTGGTGGGTTTGCTTGGCCACCACGACCTAATGTAGATGAAGCCATCACTATGGAGGAGGACGCTGTTGAAAGGACGAGCTCAGTGGGCGTATCACCTCATAAAGATTTAGAGAAAAAGAAAACAGAAGTAGAATGTGGCAAACATATTTGTGATGGGTCCGGCGCCACGTTCCGTAGAGCAGAAGAAGCAAGCATTCAGTTTGTCGAATGTGGCAATGAACTAACTGAAGATGAAAGGGAGGAGCTTGAGCTGGGAATTGATAATGCTTTGGATCAGTGCTTTTTCTGTTTATATGGTTTGAAACTTAGATCCGATTCATCTGGTGAAGATGATCTAGCCATGCACAAAAATACAAGCAGGGGAGATTATCAGACGAAGGAACAATGTGCTGATGTTTTTCAGTAAATACTGCCCTATGCAAAGGCATCCTCTGTGAGTAGATTCCTCCTCCCCCCCTCCATTTCAGTTATCAGGGTTCACCTTTTGTATAACATTGATACGTCTTTTCAGAAGATTTTATATGGTGATAGTGCCTTTTCAGATGTCTATTTTATTGGATAACATTTATAAATTTTTCAGAGAACTGGATTAGTGAAACTTCGGAGAGTAATAAGAGCTATACGCAAACACTTTCCACAACCACCAGTCAATGTTTTGGCTGGAAATGTGATAAATAAGTTTTTAGATGATCCTGATTTGTGTGAAGATAGACTCTTAGAGGAGGCCGGATCTAATGGGTTTCTTGATGCCATTACAAAGATACTATTTTCTGATGCCGGNAGTCAATGTTTTAGCTGGAAATGTGATAAATAAGTTTTTAGATGATCCTGATTTGTGTGAAGATAGACTCTTAGAGGAGGCCGGATCTAATGGGTTTCTTGATGCCATTACAAAGATACTATTTTCTGATGCCGGAAGCCTCAAACAACAGAAGGCATTATCTGCAGGAAGGTATTATCTTCTGATTACACTGTTTCTTCTATTAGATGCTTTAGTCCATAGACTTTATAATCACTTTGGTTTTAACAGCTGACTGTGTTATCAACTAACTGCAGTTCTGAGCCATATCTGGAGGTTTATTGCAACTTGTATTATCTCCTTGCTCTGTCTGAAGAAATGAGTGCAACTGATAAATGGGCTGGCTTTGTAATCACCAAGGAAGGGGAAGAATTCGTGGAGCAAAATGCGAATCTCTTTAAATATGATTTACTATTCAATCCTCTACGCTTTGAGAGTTGGCAACGGCTTGCGAATATTTATGATGAGGTAGGGTTTTTGGTTATTTTGTTTTGGCATCTGTAAATGATGTAGAAACGCACTAGAGAAACGAATAAAAGAAACTTTGAAGGGGTGGAAGAAATTTTGGCACAGATTCAAAAATCTGAACCTTTAGTATAGATTGGCTGAAGAAATTCTTTGGTTTTATGCATGCAGGAGGTGGACTTACTGCTAAATGATGGTAGTAAGCAAATAAATGTATTAGGATGGACGAAAAATGCTACTTTACCTCAGAGAGTCGAGGCAAGTCGAAGAAGGAGCAGACGGTGCTTGTTGATGACTTTGGCTTTGGCCAACACAGCGGTCCAACAGGTTTCATTACTTCTTAGTTGTGTAGGTTTAAAAACACTATGGTTGTTAGATATCTACATCTTACTAAAGATTTTGCTACAGCATGTAGCTTATGGTTATTGGTGATCTTGGATCATCATCATCTGTTATTATTCAATTTGGATGGTCATTATCTTATGGGTGTGTTTGGCAAAGCATTGTGGGATAGGATTGGTTTGGATTTTTAACCCAAACCAATCCAATGAAAACCCAATAACTAGAATACCAATGAAGTGGTGTAATCCTATCCCTCATTTGGAAAGTAATTTCTTATATTATGGGACCCACCGACAAACCATTATTTTTTTGGGTCAAATCTCTTTACTTTCACATGAATTTAAAATTTTAACCTTTAATCCTATCTAAGCCAAAGTCAATGTTTGCTATGGAATTTTATTCATGTTGTCCACTTTTATATTTCATAAAAATGTAACAGTTGTGTCACCAAGGGGAAATACCGAAAATAATTCGATTTTCATTTTTCCAAATGTTCACAAGTGTGAGTACATAAATTTCCTCGTAACATTGTTCCACATTATTTTAAAAAAATAAAATTAAGAACAACGAAATAAACGATTCGATATCACATAAACATATTTTACATTACATAACTACACATACCGATATAATCATATCACATGTTGCCTTCAAGTATACATACAAAATGAAGGCATCCATACACGCAACATATAACAAATGCATCCTAATCCCACATATGAAACTAGAAAAAGTATATGAACTGCAAAAAAATCTAATCTAATCTGTAAATTTGGATAACCAAATCAAATACCCAATGCAAGTTTCCAAATTTGATTACACTCACTTTGTGATTTTCAACTAGTTTTTTTTTATATGTGATTTTCAACATGATCAAGCATGTTAATTCCCAAATATAATAAAAATAAAATCTAAAAAAAATTGTCAACAAATATTATTTCCAAATTCAACAAGAATCCGCCTCTTATGCATTGAACAACTAATTATTAAATCATCAACTTGACCTTAGTTCCTATCAAACCAATAAGTCTTGATTTCTTGTTGCAGAGTGTGTTCAAGCCAAGCCTCAAACTCCTTCATCAACTCAAGACTCAATCTGAGCATCAATACACAAAACTCTATTTGATCAAGAGCCCCATCACCATTAATATCACCTTTTCTCACCATACTCAAAAGATCATCGGCTCTCATATGTGGGATTTTTTTTTTGTGGGGGGTAGTAAATTGAGGGGGTTTGGGAACGGAAAATAGATGGTTAGGGGGGTTTGAGTTTGGGGTTTTTGTGTGTGTGCATTTAACAGAGATAGAGGAGAGAGATGTGAGGGGAATAATAACTGACATAGAGAGGCGCCGGTGGTGCTTGGTTGCTGTTGTTGGTAGTGCTTGGTCACTAGTGGTGGTGTTGTCAGGGAAAGGAAAGTGATGAGAGACAATATAGGGAGAAAGAGAGCCAAGAGAGAGCAGATGACACCGATGCTTGTGGTGCTGTTCGCGGTGGCGGTGGCGTTGCAGTGGAGAGGCAGATAAAAAAGGGGTGGGGCGCTGGTGGTGCTTGGTTGCTGTTGCTGGTGGTGCTTGGTCGCTGGTGGAGGTGTTGTCCCTGTAGCGATGGAGAGAGGAAAGTGATGAGACACAGTAGATAAAACCTAGAAAATTATTGTTGAGGGGTGTTTTAGTAATTTTGAGAACCAATCTTGGTAGGAGCTTGTTAATCCCAAACTTTTCATGGGTTTCAATAGTCCGACTTGGAGGGGATTTTGGGGTCAAAAACTACGGTTGAGTTTTTCAATCCACAACGAAAATCCCACCCAATTTTACATTTCCAAAGAAAGGATAAATGGGTCCCATAGACAATTTTAATCCAATCCCCCTTAATCCTGCGAAACAAACACCCCCTATATGTGTCCCATTAAATTGTTAAAATGTTCCACTTATAATGATTAGTATACTAGTAATTTTCCAGATTTGGCCCGTCTTGTAGTATAATCTGTACCAACATATAACTTCCATGTCTCAGCCCAATAGGCCAGCAGGCAGAACGAGGAGATGGCCCACTGAAGTTGCTTGAGAAACCATGAATTTATGTTGGAGGACTAGATGCCAGTGGTTTTCTTGTTGATTCTGAATTCTACTATTTGCTATATGATATGTGTGTTGTCAGCCATTGTGACAAATTCTTTGTGGTTGCAGGCTGAGATACATGAGTTATTGGCATTGGTGTACTATGATGGTCTTCAAAATGTGGTGCCATTTTATGATCAAAGATCTGTGGTACCCGCAAAGGATACATCATGGATAATGTTCTGCCAGAATTCAATGAGACATTTCAAGAAGGCTTTTGAATATAAGTATATTTGCTTGTTGCACGTATTATCCTTATTATTTCTTGACTTCACATATAAAAACTGGATCAACTAATATGAAAATCTGTATTCACAGGGAAGATTGGTCTCATGCATTTTATCTGGGAAAACTCTGTGAAAAGCTCGGATACTTGCATGATATATCATTCTCATATTATGATAAGGCTATTGCTTTGAATCCATCAGCTGTAGATCCTTTCTACAGGATGCATGCTTCACGCTTGAAGCTGCTCTATACGGTTGGGAAACAAAATGAACATGCTTTAAAGGTTTTTTTCTTTGTGAAACTTACTGTATGTTTTTATTACTATTTCTGCCTCTTTGTTCTCTCCTTGTCTTTAATGTTATTTCCATCAAAGACTTTTTACTTCTGGTGCTTTTATATGCATAATACATTTGTATGTAGATGTTGATGCAGAAGCACGCAAAGCCATAGATGCACACACACAAAAACAGAAGAGGAGGATATATTTTGACTTCTTCATTGCAAATGTTTTGGGCATGTGATCTTTTGGACTTGCATAGGTTTAAGCTAATTCATGCATATTTATTGATTATTGTTATTTGTCGCTGGATTTCTTCAGGTTGTTGCAGCATATTCCTTTACTCAATCTACAAAGGATACCATCATGAATATGTTTGATAGAATGGACCCTGAAACTTCAGAGTCGCCAGTGGATGTTGAGGGAAGTCCTGATGCCAATTCTGACTATCAGTTGGAAGAGGTGTGGCATATGCTTTACGATGATTGCCTTTCAGCGCTTAAAATTTGTGTTCAAGGGGACCTCAAACATTTTCATAAAGCCAGATATATGCTTGCTCAAGGGTTGTATAGGAGGGGTGAGAGTGGGGATCTCGAGAAGGCTAAGGAGGAGCTTTCTTTTTGCTTTAAGTCATCTCGCTCTTCCTTTACTATAAATATGTGGGAGATTGATGGTATGGTCAAAAAAGGAAGGTATGTTTGGACATGACCAAACAGACTGTGTTCTCTTGTTTCTTTCTTGTTCCTTTATTTTTTTACTGTTTTGCTGGCATTATAGAAAATGAAAATGTGAAGTAATAATATGTTTTAACACCACAAAGCCATGAATTACTTTATCCAGTTCTAGGGGAGTAATTGCAGAAAAAAAAAAGTGAAGTTGTTACTGGAAAGATTATCGTCACAAGATGCTGTATTGTTATTTCATAATTTTTTGAACGTTGGTGCCGGCTAAATAACCTTTGATACCTATAATTGTAAATAATTATAAGGTTGGATGGGAGACCCATTCACTGGTCACACTCCACTCTCTCTACTGTGTATATGACTAGCTGAGAAGAAGAGGAAGAGGAAGTGGAAGTGGAAGAGGTGGGTCTTGTTCACTCCTTTTTTCTTCTTTTAAACCCTCAGCTTCTTTTCCCCTTTTGCTTTTTTCTTCCACTTTTTCTCTCCTCTGTTTTTCAACAATCGCATTTTCTCAATTTTTTTGGGTTTTTTTTCCTTCTTGAATATGTTCTCCTCTTTCTTGTCATTGAACTATGGGTTTCTCAATCAAAATCCCTTTTGTCATTTTACTTTTGTTTTTGTTGGAGATGTTTAGATTGGAGCCTGAAATTCCTCTTGAACCTTAACAAATCACAAGAGCCTAGAAATTTGTGAATTCGAATCTGTGTCTATAAATCGGAAAGGAACCTACCCCATCTGCCGGAATTACACCGTAGTTTCCACTTATCAAATGACTACATGATCAAAGACCTATTCAAAATGGGACCACGCAGGATACTTTTTGGCACCCAGGGTTGCGAACCTACCTGCTTTGTTGAGTGGTTGGAGAGAAAAAAAAAATAGAAGAGGACAGAAGAGGTATTTGGGGCTAGGGTTAGGGTTTTGGGTGCTTTGATACTGTGTTGAGATTCTAGAGAGAGATAAAAGAGAAAGGCAGAAGTAAAAGAGTGACTGGCTTACCCTAGGATTGGGAGACCTGCCCATATTAATGAACAAAAAGGTACAAAAATTCTCAGCCTAATGATAACTCTAATAAATCTAATAAGGTGTATACTACAAGAGGGTAAAATGGAATTTGTCTCCTTTCTATATTTTTATTTTGAGCACTGGTGGTTACCTTACCTGTTGTAATAAAACTATCAACTCATTTTTATTTCTGTCTCAGGCGGAAAACAATTGGTCTTTCTGGGAACATGAAGGTGCTGGAAGTTAACCTACCAGAAAGTTCTCGAAAATTTATTACTTGCATTAGGAAGTACATGTTGTTCTATTTGAAATTGATGGAGGAGACGATAGACATCTCTACCCTGGACCGTGCTTACATCTCTATTCGGGCAGATAAGAGGGTATGAACGTGTCAAGCCTTTTAGCATTTTCTTAATCTAGTGTATGTTGCAAAAAATATCATGGGCAATAAATTAAGAGCCTATCATATTTAGGAAATGAAGCTTGGAGCGATTCTAGTTGAAACGAATTCTATGATTAGGTGATTACTTGAATTAAGAAGACTGATGTTCTTGAGTACATTGATTTCTATGAAAACCTTCTCCTAGAATGAACTTTTATCTCATTTGACTACTTTTCAAATGAGATTTGGTGGTTGATCCTATACTTGCCATTGATCATTTTTTTAGAGGATATTATTGCACATCTTAGTCAATGCTGTGTTTCCTGGAAAATAATTTCCATATATGTTGTGGAGCTTTCATGTTTGATACTTTTCGCCAAGAAATAGATCTTCACTGTATTATCTTGATTAATTTTAGTTTATGCAATGTTAGTATTTCCGTAGGAAGCCATCATCCCTGTTCTAATTTACATGCACTTCCAGCTTGGTGGTACATGAGTAGATGACTAATCTTGTTTTGTTTTTCATCAAGTAGATTTGTAGCTAACTTGTTATAGATCCAGTTCTCCTTGTGCCTGGAAGATTTTGTTCCGATAGCACTTGGTCGGTACATCAAGGCTCTAACTTCATCCATGCGTCGAACTGACAATGGCTCTGGTGCTGTGTGCGGCTCTCTTGATCATCTTCTGGAGAAGATGTTCTCTTTGTTCTTGGAACAGGTGACCTTATGGTCCGATATATGCAATTTGCCTGAGATCAAGGGCCCAGAGTTGGTGGAAAGCAACTTACATGGGTAGGTCATTAAAGAAAATAACAATCACAAATTAAAAATGTTCAGAATGCTGATTCAGATGAGTGCAATGCAGTACTGAGGTCAGATATATAAGTTGGAAACTTAGTTTGTCATTCACAATTATTTAAACAGGTTACCCTTTGCAGATATCTCTATCAATACATCCAGTCGTTAGAGAGCAATGCCAAGCTAGAAACTCTTGAAGGGATAAATGAGAAGATAAGAAAGCGTTTGAAGAACCTAAAGTTGTCAAATAGTAACTGCGCGAAGGTCTACAGGCATGTTTCTGCTGCTTGGTGTCGGTCACTTGTGATCAGCATGGCCCTGATCACACCATTACATACCAAACTGTCAAGTGAGATCCAAGTTCCTAATTTATCAGATAGTGGTTCGGAAAACACCCAACTGCTTTGTGTTGATCTGCAAATAGATGAATTATGGAATTCATCATTTGAGGACCCAAACCATCTAAAGATTCTTGAAACAAAGTGGAACCCTTCATTGTCCAAGATTAAGAATGTTATAATCAAGAAAGTTTCTGATGAAGATTTGGAGACTGCCACAACATTGCTGAGATCTTCATACAACTTCTATAGGGACACCTCTTGTGCTATGCTCCCGTCAGGTGTAAACCTTTATATGGCACCATCTCAGTTAGCAACAGAAACATATATTCAGCTGGGCATGGATGGGGTTGACATTCTTGATATGAATACCTCCCGGAAGCTTCTTTTGTGGGCCTACACACTGTTGACTGGTCATTGCCCTAATATCTCAGTTGTTATAAAATCCTATAAAACCTAGGTATACAACTTTCGGTGAAGAATATGCTGAGTTTTGACATGTTTTCCTTCAATTTGTTATGCAATTTTTATTTGGTGTGGGGTTACCATTAACAGGTTGTAGTTGTTTCTCACCAGGTTATTGTAGCATAATCTCATCGCCCTTAGGTTTGTCCTCACCTCTCTCTCCATCTCGCTCTCTCTTCTCTACATTCTCAACACAAATTTGATTTTTTTGTTATTTTTTATTTGTGGTGTTATAGCACGTGGTTGTGATTTTTTGATCTGTGAACTTATGAGGGTTGTAAGGTTACATTTCGATTTTTGAAATTTAATCAAGCAAATTGATTGTTGATATACTGTGAAATGTGATTATGAGTTTTTAATTTGGAATTTGGCAATTTTTTTTTGTCTGAATTTCTGATTTTTATTTGATCCAATATACATTAAACATGGTTACTGATGATGCACAAATCGATTTTATGCACCACCTGTCGAGTGATTAGTATGGTTAATAAAATGCAGTAAATATGATGGAGAACTCAACAAAAGCAACACACATGGATATAGTAGTTCAATTAAGTTGACCTACTCCATTTTGAAAGGCTTTGGTTGTCGGAGTGTTTTATTATTGTAGGAGTGTGGGGAGCTCAGGTGAGTCAAGTGTAAGATAAAGTGGAAGATGCCTTCCATGTGTAGGTGAGACTTTAAAATTTATAGACGTCTTATAACAGATTGAGACATCATATTCGTAACAGATAGGCAAATTTGGTGGAGGTGGTACCTTTCTCGCAACGGATGGGGTATTTGCGTGGAGATCTCTTTATCAATTGCAGACTAGGTCTTAGGATGGCGTAGCTGACTCCTTGACTCCAAGATGGCGTGACTGACTCCTTGGCTGCAGGATGGCGTGGCCGACTGTGCTCTCTTGACTCCATGGTGACCTGAGCTGGATCTCATATGGGTCAGGCCCATTGGACTTCGACTGGGCCAGGCACATTACTTGTGTCGGGCCAGCCCCACTATATAAGTTGGGCCTTATCTGGACCAGACTCATTCCTTGAGCTGGTCCTCCTCTAAGCCGGGCCCATTAGCTATTTTTATACTTATTATATTTGTTGGTATATTTATTATTATTAATATTTATTTTAATTTTTTATTAAATAATTGGTCTGGCCAATGACCAACTGACCCGATTTCTTTACCAGGTTAATGCCTATGCTAAGTTTTAAAACTATGATGGTGAACACATATAAATGTTAATTAGCCATGCAGATATGATATTTTGCACGAGTAACCATTAGTATTGGCTATACAAATTTATATTCTAGTGGATATTGAAAGAATACACTAGTTATCACAGAGCGGGTTGTCCATAGGTAAGAACATAGATTTTTTAGCTCAATGTTTAGGTTTGAGTCTCTATAGATACGATAATTTAAATTTATTATTGAGCTTCTAAAGTACCCGATGAGACCTAACTACAAAGTGGTTTGATACGTAACTTCAAAGTGGTATGACAATTCTCCTACCGGATATGTGGTGTGCTTGCATATTATTTTCTGTAAAGCAAAGAAAAGAAAAGAAAGAATACACTAATTAATAGAGAAATTCACCAAAAAGAAAAGTATTTATTATTCTATGAGGTTCTATAGTATACCGAAAGTTCCAAATCCCAAAAGTAACAGAGGTGCAAAACCTTGATTTCTTGAGAAGAGTAAAACCAACGAACAACACTCCCGGAGTTTCGTACGTCACCATAAAGATCGAAAAATGGTACTTTGCGTTGATTTCTTGTATTTTTCCCTTTTCAACAGAGTTCTTGTTAATAAAAAGAATACAAACCTTTACTAAGATGGGTTTCTGAGGAATTTCTTTATTATGTTTCAGTTCTCAATCGCAGTTATAAACGATACAGACGCAAAAGGTCAGTGGGAACCTTTAGCTCCCACCAACGAAGTCCAGGCAAACCCGTTTTAATATTACCATATCTCTACACATATATGTATACATGTTAACGAATATATTATATATGTTTGGGTATGATTCTTGATTTCATTGTAATAATGATTGGTATTTAAGTATGATCATTGATGACCCATTTGGCTTCCAAGAAATTGATGAAACAATATAGGAGAGAAACAAATTTGAAACGGATGACGTTCCTCTAATTTGATTGCCAAGAAAGGTATAATATTCAACCAAATTATTAATTTAAAATTACCCAACTCATTTTTTTTTTATTTTTCATTTTTTTTTGTGTTTGTTTCACAAATAATTATCTATAGCTCACAGAACGTGTTGGATTCCCATAGAATTATTTTTAAGGAACATTAACTTCCGTTGAATGATTAACGACTGTCAAAACTTGACAAGATGCATATGCTTGCATTGATACCAACACAATCTACCAATTGCTCAATCGATTGGAGGAAACTCTGTTGTTCTTTTAATATATGTTACTTTATGACATATATTTTTACTGTTCTTTCCTTTAAAAACCAATTTCAGCGGGAAATAATACTTGTGTGGTACTTAGTTTTGTAGACAAAATTACTTATGGTTGGCTTCCTAGATTGTGTTGTTTTTGCCTTTTTGTCCATTACCCTTCATTCTAGTTCTCACGATTCATGACACAATGAGGGGTTGTTTCAATAACCTTGTTCACAACAATTTACAAATTTTGACGTTTTACTTTATGTTATGCGGTTTCATCCTCTCGCAACCATTTGAGCGTGTGTGAGGTTTGACGACTCAATCACCTATCTCGCTCAATATCTGATATCAACACTGTTTTAAAATTTGGCTAGGGGCCCGACGAGTTGATCCATTAAATCGACAAACTGGAGCTTAAATTGTTTTGGTTCTTATGTTAGATCAGTTGAGCAAAAACAATCGGAAGAAACCCATTAACCCATGTAGTTCATGAGAAAACTGTTCAGCCCATCGACCAGATCAATAAAAATGGTATAAACAATTAGCCTTTTTGGGCATTTTTTGTCATGGATTATGCAGTTTTACCCCTCGATACCATTTGAGCCTTTGTGAGGTCCAACGACTCAGCACAACACACAGTTGAAGGCCCCTCACTCTCTGTAAAATCATATAAAACCTAGGTATACAACTTTCGGTGAAGAATATGCAGAGTTTTGACATGTTTTCCCTACAACTTGTTATAGAATTTTTATTTGGTGTGAGGTTACCAGGAACAGGTTGTAATCGTTTCTCACCGGGTTATTGTAGCATAATCTCACTACCCTCAGGTCTGTCATTACCTCGCTTTCCATCTCTCTCTCTCTCTTCTCTACATTCTCAACACAAATTTGATATTTTTGTTATTTTTATTTGTGGTGTTGTTGCATGTGGTTGTAATTTTTTTGATCCGTGGATTTATGAGGGTTGTAAGGTTACATTTAGAGTTTTGAAACTTAATCAAGCAAATTGATTGTTGATATATTGTGAAATGTGATTCTGAATTTTTAATTTGGAATTCGACAATTTTTTTTGTCTGATTTTCTGGGTTTTATTTGATCCAATATACATTAAACATGGTTACTGATGATGAACAAATCGATTTTATGCACCACCTGTCGAGGGATTAGTATGGTTAATAAAATGCAGCAAATATGGTGGAGAACTCAACACAAGCAACACACATAGATATAGTAGTTCAATCAAGATGACCTACTCCACTTTGAAGGGCTTTGGTTGTCGGGGTGTTTTGTTAGTGTAGGAGTGTGGGGAGCTCAGGTGAGTCATGTGTAAGATAAAATGCAAGATTCCCTCCATGTGTAGCTGAGACTTATAATTTATAGACATCTCATAACAGATTAAGGCATCATATTCGTAACAGATAGGCTAATTCGGTGGAGGTGGTACCTTTCTCGCAACGAATGGGGTAATTGTGTGGAGATCTCTTTATCGATTGCATACAAGGTCTTAGGATGGCGTAGCTGACTCCTTGACACCAAGATGGCGTGACTGACTCCTTACTTCCAGGATGGCGAGACTAACTCCTTGGCTCTAGGATGACGTGGCCGACTTTGCTCTCTTGACTCTGTGGTAAGCTGTGCTGGGTCTCTTATGGGTTGGGCCTCTTGGACTTTGACTGGGTCAGGTCCATTACTTGAGTCAGGCTTTGTTCGGAACAACCCCACTATCTAAGTTGGGCCTTGTTTGGACCGGACTTATTACTTGAGTTGGGCCTTGTCTAAGCCGGGCCCATTAGCTATTTTCATACCTATTATATTTGTTGGTATATTTATTATTATTAATATTTATTTTAATTTTTTGTTGAATAATCGGTCTGACCAATGATCAACTGACCCGATTTCTTTACTGGGTTAATGTCTATGCTAAGTTTTAAAACTATGATGGTGAACACATATAAATGTTAATTATCAATGCAGATCCGATGTTTTTCACGAGTAACCATTAGTATATGCTATACAACTTTTTTTTGTAATGGATATTGAAAGAATACACTAGTTACCACTGAGCAGTTGGTCCATAGGTAAGAACATAGATTTTTTAGCTCAATGTTTAGGTTTGTGTCTCTATAGACACGATAATTTAAATTTATTATTGAGTGTGCAAAGTATGCGATGAGACCTAACTTCGAAGCAGTTTGAGACTTAACTTTAAAGCGGTATGACAATGCTCCTAACAGATTTGTGGTGTGCCTGCATATTATTTTGTGTAAAACAAAGTAAAAAAAAAAAAGAAAGAATACACTAGTTAATAGAGACATTGACTAAAAAGAAAAGTATTTATCATTCTATGGGGTTCCGCAGTAAACCGAAAGTTCCAAATCCCAAAAGTAACAGAGGTACAAAAATCGAGCCCACCTAAATCAAAAAGCTGAGAAGAGTAAAACCAAGGAACAACACTCCCGGAGTTCCGTACGTCACCATAAAGATTGAAAAATGGTACTTTACGTTGATTTCTTGCATTTTTTTCCCTTTTCAACAGAGTTCTTGTAAATAAAAAAAAGTGTACAAACCTTTACGAATATGGGTTTCT